CCATGGCTCTCGACGATGGCACCCCGGCCAAACGCTCAGATCGAATCCTCCAGGACGCTCTATATGCATTCCCCGACGCTGCTCCGTTTGTATATCTGTCAAAACCCACAATCCACAGGCATTGCAACAGGTGCGGATTCAAAAGTGTTTCGCAACCTGGTGGAGGAGGGGATTCCGAAAGCACTGTCCCAACCACGCAAAAGATATACCCTCCAAGCCACAAACGTCCGCAGCAAAAATCTATCCCTTCTTCTGTCATCAAAGGGCGCAGGTCGGACGAACGCCGCTGCGGGTGGGTGGAGCTTCTACGCGGACAGGAAAAAGAACGAGTCACCTCTCGACACCACGTTGCCTACCCCGCCGCTTTCGGAGGACTCTGAGAGCGTCTCTTCTGCTGCAGCGGAACAGGTCACGGCAGCCAAACGGAAGGTCACATACGACCCAGCAGAAGCGGACCGACTTGATAAAAAGGCGAGACTTTTGGCGGCTCGCGCCCGATTCGGGGATTCAGCAAAGCTCGACGATGGCCGGGGTATCGAGCGAGTAGACATTACGATGGAGGACTCATTCTTAGGTCCAGAGAATAACGTGCCAGTAGACGAAGACGAGGCATCTTGGGCTCCGGGCGTCAAGCTGACATTTCGAGGCTCACACGTCTTTGCCGGCATGCGCCAGCTCGTGGAGGCTGGTGTCATTAATGGCAGCAGAATGCCTGGCTGGCTGACTGGTGAGGAAGGCGTTACTATTGGGGTTGTCAGGGATGGCAGGATCAGGGGATACAAAGGCTCCGGGATATAACGACTGATGACGCTCGGCTTCTTGATTTAAGATTTTCAGGACCGAGCCAAGGGTCTCGGCACGGCTGAACCGCTAATGGCAGTTCTTTGGTTGGCGTCCTATTTTGTCTAGATACCCATGCAACAGCGTTCTACGCTTGTAAATCAAAGACCTTGTTCGTGTTCTTCCAAGCGGCCTCACATACCTCCTCTACCGAAACCCCCTTGATGCCCGCCACTACCTTGGCCACGCGCTCAATCATGCAGGGCTCGTTGCGGCCCTTGACCATGGCGCCCTCCTGCCACTTCTCCTTCTTCACGATTTTCCATCGCTCAGGAATCTCGGGCTCCTTCTTCTGGTTCTTCTTCGATTTGGGCTGTGGCTTCGATGCATCAGCCGGCGCGGCCTCGCCGTTTGTCTCTGGCTTCTTCTCTAACAACAGTTTGTAGCCCTCGTGGCTCGGTCTGATCTCGCACCAGGGCCCGTCCGTCTCCAGCATCATCCTGTCCAGGCTGATCTGTTTGACGACCTCGCAATTCTCCGCCGTCTTGAAGCTGCAACCATTGATCCCGATGTACAGCCCCAGGTCCATCAGCTCACGCGCCTCCTCGATGGAGCCGGTAAAGCTATGCACGACGCCGCCGCGCTCGAGCTTCTCCAAGCCGGGGCCGAACTTCTCCTGCAAAAGCCGGCGGAAGTCTTCGTGGGCGGCGCGCGAGTGCAAGAATAGGGGCAGCTGGGGCTTCGTGGCGAGGACGAGGTCCAGCTGGGCGGCAAAGGCATATAGCTGAACAGCCTTGGAGGCATAGTGCAGGCGATCGTAGTCGAGCCCAAACTCGCCGAATGCGACGAGGCTACCCGGCTGGGACGCGCGGGTGCTCTCAATGAGGGCGGCGAGATCGGCGATGATCGTCTCGGTCTTTTCAGCGTCCGGGCCGTTGGTGTCCGGCATGGGTGTTTCTGGATCAGGGTTCGAATGCATGGCATCATGGTTGGCATCGGCGGTACTGAAGATGGCGCTGCTGCAGGGATGGATACCGATGGTCGTGTATACATTGCCGGCTGGCATGGAGATGGTCAGTCGAGTGTCGTGCATGTCGGGGAGCTGTGAGGTCACGTACGATATTCTTTGGCTATCGCCAAGGCATCTCGGCAGCTCTGAAAGTCTGAACCCGTGACGATGAGCTTCGAGCAACCAACTTCGTTTGCTCTTGAAATGACAGCACCCAGATCATCAGGGTGCCGTCTGGAGCCGTGGGAAATGCCTCTGAAAATGGGGTCGGCAAGGTTAATTCCAATCTACTGGGTATAGAGTGTCAGCCAACCAAGGCCCGTTTTTGACTTTTTGATTTCCTCGCAAGCACAACTTCGTACATCAACATATCTTGGTCTGTACTCATCGTGAGAGGTGACTGGTGGCGGGGTCGCCATCGTTGTTAGACGTGGTGGCAGAACCACGCGAGATGCCAAGTACGATACGGTTGGCCTGAACCGAGTGAGAGGTGCTCGAGGCCAAAACATATGCTGAGACTGAAGAAACTCTTCACCCTTTAGAAGTCCCGAAACACCAGAGTCTGAGATATGGCCTGGCGCCTTAGCGTAGCGCTGGTGAGTTGCGCGTGCGCCTAAATGCATCTCTTCAAACCCCCATTAAACACAGTCTGACTAATACACGTGATTGCGCGAAGTACTTTACGCGCTAAGCGCGTTAAGTGCATGCATGCATAAAGTGCAAAGACGCGCCCTTGCACTACCACTTAAAAAAGTCCAGGGGCGAAGGGGGACCTGAGGAATGGATCTGTAAGCATGAGAATCAGGATAATCTATTCAGCGCCGCCAGACGAGTATGATCTAGGCACAGCAAGGGATCAAAACACGAGGGGACATTAGTGAGCATCGGTTTCGGCTCGTAGGTATCGGGCAAGCAAGGGCGGCGGGGCATCTGCCTGATGGTTGCCAAGGGTCAGCAGTAGTAAACCGCCTGTGCTTAACCGTGTTTGACGCGCTAGGGGCCTGGCGACGCGTTTCCGCTACGCGACGACCCGCCACGCCTATATCTTTCTCCCGTAGCAACCACCCACCATCCTTTTCCCTTCCTCCTACATACAACAAATCCCACCTCAAGTATCTTCAGCGACCATTTCCTGGCACTGAATTGCGACGAGACTTCTTTGGCATATACCCACTGGCCTTGAACAGAGTCTGAATCACTCCGTCGCCTCTTACCCCCCCGACGGTGCACTCCGTTGTCTCGCCATCCCGCCATCCCTCTACCCCCCCTCTACACATCGCCCACCATGTTCGTGAGAAAGAGAGGTACGTGTCTGCCCCTCAACGCGACTTCTAATGCGTGCTCCGTACTGACTGCGATCAGATGGCCGCCAGGAGCGCGTCCAGTTCGACAAGATCACGGCTCGCGTGTCGAGGCTGTGTTACGGCCTTGACATGGACCACGTCGACCCGGTCGCCATCACTCAGAAGGTTATTTCTGGTGTCTACGGTGGTGTAACTACCGTTCAGCTCGATGATCTTGTATGTTGTCCATCGTTCTGATGCTGGATTGTGAGAACCCATCCTAACCCGCACTCCTAGGCTGCCGAGACTGCCGCGTACATGACCGTCACCCATCCCGACTATGCCATCCTCGCCGCCCGCATTGCGGTCTCCAACCTTCACAAGCAGACCAAGAAGCAATGGTCTTCTGTCGTCAGTGATCTGTATCACTACGTCAACCCCAAGAACAACCGCCCCTCTCCCATGATTGCACCGGAGACGTATGAGTTTGTCATGAAGCACAAGGAGGAGCTTGACTCGGCCATTGTCTACGACCGTGACTTCAACTACCAATACTTTGGCTTCAAGACCCTGGAGCGTTCCTATCTCCTCAAGCTTGACGGCAAGATTGCCGAGCGCCCGCAGCACATGATTATGCGTGTTTCCGTCGGTATCTGGGGAGACAACGTTGAGCGTGTCATTGAGACGTACAACCTCATGTCCAGCAAATTCTTCACACACGCCTCTCCTACCCTCTTCAACGCTGGCACGCCTCAGGCTCAGCTGTCGTCCTGCTTCCTGGTTGACATGAAGGATGACAGCATTGAAGGTATCTACGACACCCTCAAGACCTGTGCCATGATCTCCAAGATGGCTGGTGGTATTGGCCTGAACGTCCACCGCATCCGTGCCACTGGCTCTTACATTGCCGGCACCAATGGCACTTCAAACGGCATCACGCCCATGCTTCGCGTCTTCAACAACACGGCGCGCTACGTTGACCAGGGCGGCAACAAGCGTCCCGGCGCTTTTGCCATCTACCTTGAGCCATGGCACGCTGATGTCTTCGAGTTCCTTGACCTCCGCAAGAACCACGGCAAGGAGGAGGTTCGCGCTCGCGATCTCTTCCTGGCCTTGTGGATCCCCGATCTCTTCATGAAGCGTGTCGAGAAGAACGGCGACTGGACTCTCATGTGCCCCAACGAGTGCCCTGGCCTTGCTGACTGCTACGGTGACGAGTTTGAGGCCTTGTACGAGAAGTACGAGAAGGCTGGCAAGGGCCGCAAGACCATCAAGGCGCAGAAGCTTTGGTACGCCGTCCTCGAGGCTCAGACCGAGACCGGCAACCCCTTCATGCTCTACAAGGATCACTGCAACCGCAAGAGCAACCAGAAGAACCTTGGTACCATTCGCAGCTCCAACCTGTGCACAGAGATTGTCGAGTACTCGGCACCCGATGAGGTTGCCGTCTGCAACCTGGCCTCTCTGGCCCTGCCCGCCTACGTTGATTACAACAACGGCGTGTATGACTTCAAGAAGCTCCACCAGGTCACTCAGGTCGTCGTCAGGAACCTCAACAGGATCATCGACGTGAACCATTACCCCGTCATCGAGGCTCGCAACAGCAACATGCGCCATCGGCCCATTGGCCTTGGTGTCCAGGGCTTGGCTGATGCTTTCCTTGCTCTCCGCATGCCCTTTGAGTCTCCTGAGGCCAAGGAGCTCAACAAGCAGATCTTTGAGACCATCTACCACGCTGCCCTGACCATGTCATGCAAGCTCGCTCAGGAGGAAGGCCCCTACTCCACCTATGAGGGCTCGCCCGTCTCCCAGGGTATCCTTCAATACGACATGTGGAACGTCAAGCCTACTGACCTTTGGGACTGGGCCGACCTCAAGAGCCAGATCAAGCAACATGGCGTCCGTAACAGTCTTCTCGTGGCGCCCATGCCCACGGCCAGTACCTCGCAGATCCTTGGCAACAACGAGTGCTTCGAGCCTTACACGTCCAACATCTACCAGCGTCGTGTGCTCGCCGGCGAGTTCCAGGTCGTCAACCCCTGGCTGCTCAAGGATCTTGTCGACATGGGTCTTTGGTCTGATAGCATGAAGAACCGCATCATTGCCGAGAATGGTTCCATCCAGAACATCCCCAACATTCCCGCCGACATCAAGTCCCTGTACAAGACTGTCTGGGAGATTTCTCAGCGCACCGTTGTGCAGATGGCTGCCGATCGTGGTGCCTTCATCGACCAGTCCCAGTCCTTGAACATTCACATGAAAGACCCTACCATGGGTAAGATCACGAGCATGCACTTCGCCGGCTGGAAGCTTGGCCTCAAGACCGGCATGTACTACCTGCGCACCCAGGCTGCTGCTGCCCCTATTCAATTCACTGTTGATAAGGAGGCGCTCAAGGTCGCCGATACCAACGTCGGCAAGGAGCGCAGCCTCAAGAAGCGGTCTCCCATGCCCAGCTACAACTCGTCTGCTGCGGCCGTTCCTAGGCCCATGTTCCAGAACAAGGACGGTTCGGCAGACAGCAACAGCCGCAACGGTGTTCCTACCCCCAGCACGACACCGCCTCCGGCCGCCGTCACGTCCCTCCCTGTCGCCTCGCCTGCCAAGCCGGCGACGATGAAGGCGGATGTTGACGAGGGCGACAGCCCCAAGGTCCTGCCCATGGAGCCCGCCGACAAGATTAAGATTGAGGAGCTCTCTCAGGGCGACAAGACTCCTGACGCGGAGGACAAGGATGAGGACAGCAAAGAGCGCGAGAACGACATTTACTCAGAAGCTGTGCTTGCTTGTAAGTCAAAAACTAGCACGTACCCCTTTCAACTTGACCAAGACTAATGACCTCTCGCAGGCAGCATTGAAAACCCCGAGTCTTGCGTGATGTGCAGCGGCTAAATGTTGGATACATCATTGGTAATGTGTTGATGGTTTGATGATGGGTATAATGGCACTGGGTTTTGGGTACATTTGCAAGGACACACCGCGGCTTGCACGGCTCATGATGCTCGATGCCTCTTGACGTGCACCTGAGCGCGATGCGCGGTATATCTGTCGCGCTGGCTGATATGGTTTTGTACAGTGGTTTTATGGTTTAGGGAGGTCCTGGTCCTTAGTCGGGGTCTGCATTTCAGGACAAGGTCATAATGCGTTGAACCTTGATAAGATAGCATGTGTGTTTTTCGTAATACGATTGGCGTTGAGACAATATTGTGCTGTCCCTTCCATCTCGTCCGAAACAACGAGCCTTGCCCCATTGACCGCATGCCCAATGATGGAGGGGGAGGCACGTAGCTCAAAAGGTTTTGTCTCACAGAGGAGCGCCACTTCTTCCGACCCAGTAGCAGTGGCTAGGTTGTGTGGTTGGTGTCGGAGGGTTGAGGCCTCCTCACGGTCTAGGTCCTCGCGAAATTGGCTGTTGCACCAGCTGGGGCCGGGGGGGCTCGATCTCGGTTGGCGTGGCAAACCTGGGGTGCTGCCTCTTGCGGATGAAGGGGGGGGCTAACTCGATGTTTAGTGTCCACACGGCAAATTGATTCAGCTGGACCAGGATTTTGTTCTCAAGCAAACAAGGGGGGGGAGGGAGCCAGGGTCGTTGGGGGGATCGATTCGATCGCGCCAGGCCGTCAGGCACCCGAGGCCTATCTACCGATTGCCAAATCTGCCCGCCATGCCAGTTGTGGTCCCCCTTACCCGCCTCCCCGCACTAATCCAGGCGCCCCTAGATTTCCATTGTCCAATTGATGGAGAGATGGGGTCGTTTTTGCGTGTTTGATTGTGCGCACGGGTGTTAAGCGCTCACGGGGTGCACAGCAGATTGGTTCTCGTCGCACGTCGGTCCTTGTGCCAGGCAGGTCGCCACTGGTCTGTCGAGACTGTCGGTGTTGAAATGAAGGGGAGGATGTATGCACAGATTGATCTCTCTCAGAGGGCGTCGGAGATCAAGCAGAGGGGACGATGCTATCTACACTAGCAGTCGAAGGGGGGGTCCGATCGGCGCATGCATGGGTCGGGTTTGCATGTAGGTGCCATGTTGGCAAGGGTAGCCGCACTCTGAAGAGACAAGGCTTGAGTGAGATCTTCGGCTCCGGAAATTCTGCATTGGAAGAACGCATCTCGGTCTTTCAATTCTTCAGGTTTGGGACGTCGTACATTTCGGGTCTTGGGCAAGACGGATCGAATGGCCGAACGGACTCTGCTTGCCACAGGACGCGCAAGCCGCAATGTGATCCAGGCTGGCTGGGGAGGGGTCATCATGTCTTGGGTTCGTGGGGTGGTTCGTTCGAATTGGCTTTCGCTGGGGCCGGAAGTGAAGGGAGGGGCAACGGGCGCAGACGTTCAGCAGAACAAGCAAGCGTTCAGGGCTTCAGGCATCACCAGATGAATAAGGTAGGTACCTGCCTACCTACCTACATGTAGGTACCTGGGGTACCTTGCTGCTGAGACGGCGCACCGCGGAGAGAGAGGCCGGGAACAGAAATTCGGGGTTCTAGGCCCATGATGCCTCATTAACGTAAACAAGCAGGCGCAGGGTGGTTGAATCAGCGGGGACGTCAACAGGAAACCAACAATCATGGTACCCAGCCCGGCTTTACTTCTTGTCGTTCGTGGAGACAGACGAGCACCGCACAATAGGGCAGCACCAGCAGAGAGAGGGAGCGAACAAAAACCGAGCAGCAGGAAACCATCAGACGATAGTTGTTGAGCCAACCAGAGCGCATGTGCCCATGACGTTGGACAAGTGCCTGCTCCACACGTCCGCTTGTCCCTGCCGAGACCAGACCTGGGTGCAAGGTCACAGGACTTGCCGTGTGGATAGCTTGTCCGGTGGATCGGCTTCTTCCCGCCAATCATATGCAGCCAAGAATCGGAGCAGGGATGCCAGCGGAGTGAACTGACCTCATTGACGCTGTATGAGTTGGACTTGCTTGACACGAATCGAACCTTGGAACCTTTCTCCCATTGCCCTGTTCTGAGGGGGCCTGCAGAGCTGTCGAACCCAGCCATTTGTCTTTTTCGGAGTGACTCTACCTCCCCCGATGACAACAGCAAGCTTCCAGTCCTTTGTCTGGTGTGGTTATCACTTAGGTTCCCTGGTTTTCGTCCGTCCCATCAGCCGTTTATTACCCAATTCAATGTTGGCTCATGATTTCAAGCCGAGTATCCATGTCGTCATGGGAGGCCCTGTTTCCTCAGCTTGAGTGGGTAGTTATCTTTCCTCGGGGAAGCTCTCGGTGCTGAGGCAAGCGTTATGTGGGAGAATTCGGGCACACCGACATTGCCGCAAAGTCGTCGACTGTCCTGCTGGATTAGGAAGATGGCGTAGCGTAACGGGATTCATCGCAGGTCCACCGCACGCTTTAGGCTGAGGCAAGCGAGGCGAAGCTGCCAACCTAGTATGCTGTGCTGTCGACTTGCATGAAGACTTCAGCGCTGCGTGTCCAGGCATGGTCCGACGAGGGGCGTGGGTTGCGCTCAAGCTCGGAATGGCGGCGCAGCCAGATGTCCTACCCTACCTAGCTGCCTTACCCAGGTAGCTACCTACCTACCTCTGATCTGATGGTAGGAAGCAGACAGCTGGCGCTGCGCAACCGGGCCGGGGGGCGGTCGGTAGGTCCGCAGGTAGGTGCCTTACGTTGTGGGCAATAGCTGGGGCGGTTAGACATTGGGATGCTAGTGCTGGGGCTTGGATGTCTGTGTCTTACGAGTTGGGGACTTGAGGTCATATCCCTCCCGATCCCGGCTTTAGTGCAGTGCAATGAGGTCGAAACCGGGGCTGGCGCACCTCTAGGGTCAGGCAGGGCAGGGGCCGGTGGGTAGACAGAGGCAAGCGCAGGCACACCCCGGCAGTGGCTCTTTCCTGTTTTGTCAGTGGCTTGACTTTCGGGTAGGTTCACCGCACATCCCAGCATCGTGCTTTCCTCCAGCTTTGCTAGAGGCCTGCCAGCTTCCAGCTTTGGTCTTGCTGTGAGGTACATGTAGCCTTCTCAGCACAGGGCCTCTCATCTCTTCTCCACACGTCGTTCTTGTTCTTTAAAGCTTTGGTACGCCTGCCCCTACATCCATCTGTTTGACCTCCCTCCCGTCCCTCATCATCCCAACCCTGCGTCTGATATCTTTCGAGACCTCCATTCCTCCTCCTCTCGTCAACGTCACGGAAAGACAAACGACATTCTCGACCGCACCTCCACATCCTTCGGTACGTCCGTACAACGACGCGTCGCGTCTTTCATGTTCCTCGGGCAAAGCTTCTATTCTTCCATCCGGCACCAAGGACTTCACGCGACAATTCCTTCCCCTCCTCATACACTAGGCTTTTTTTGCGTTATCCGGGTCCCGGCTTACGAGCCACCTCACTGTTCTTCTCATTGGTGTCACGTCTCATAAGTTTTGACACGACTAACACCCAATCACCGTTCACAGGCCTGCCAAGCCTTGACGACGTTCCGTTGCCCTCTCACAACACCATCATCACTACACTGTGGGTAAGTGGTTCTTCAGTCTGATACGCCAGGCTTGGTCTGCTTCACTTGCCCTTTGCCATTCTGGAGTCAATGCAAGACTCTGGACTTCCCCCACTGCCACAGCACACACACACACACACACACACACACACACACACACAAGATCAGCGGCAAGAATGGCATAGGTTGGCCAAGACCAAATGGGCCTTGGAACAGTTGACCCTGCCGTGTGTGCTTGTTCGACGTGGCTGGCCCGATCCTTCCCCAGCTTGACCCCCCCTCCCGCTTTTTCCCCTTGCGACTGCCGTCACACGGTGCAACTATACAAGGGCCGGCTCCCACGCGTGAAGTTGCACCTTCATTTCCCCTGCCACCCCCTTCCTCACTCCTCATAACCTCTTCACACGTCTCATACTGCCTCTAACCTTCTTCCTGTTTTCCCCCCAAACACTCACACATGTTTGCTCATCTGTCTTGACACCAACACTCGTTTCTCCTACAAGTCTCAAATCAGGTACTTGGATGCCGTTGATCGCTCGACAAAGTCACGAGTGTTTAATTCATCCCTCTTTAATCGTGTGGTGCGCATGAGCAGCCAGGAATATGATATTTGAACTTTTGCTAACATCAGCTGTTCAGGTCTTGCTTCTTGCACCGAACACCATCACGAGCATTAACTCATCTCGTCTCGTTCAGTCTTCAGAAAACATCAACGTCATCAAAATGAAGAACACCGCCGTTCTCAGCGCTGCTGTCATCCTCGTCCTCAGCGGCGTCCAAGCCCAGGACCTCCCCGCGTGCGGCGTAAGCATCCATCACGCTCGTCACTAGAGCCCGACAATGGCTGACACGCAGTGAAATAGCAAACGTGCGTCACTAACATGCTCGGACTTGCGGCTGAACTCGGATGTGGCGACGTCCAAGGTTCTGAGCGGGAAGCCTGCCTGTGCCGTAACCCCAACTTCCTGTACGGTATCAACGACTGCTCTACTGCCGTCTGCGCCGAGGACACCGAGGCCGCCGCCGCCGCCGTCCGTTACGGCCTTTCCTACTGCGCTGGTGAGATTCCACTGTGAGAATACTCTGCCATGACGAATATTGTGCTGATTTGTTTCGATAGACCGTGGTGTCACTGTTGAGCCCGTCCCCGCTGGTACTGTCACCGAGGCCACCAACACTGAGACTGTCACTGCCACTGCCACTGGTGGCGGCGCCGTGAGTGCGCTCCTATGAAACCAAGTATAACATTTGCTAACAATTGTTCAGAACGGCGGAGCTGTTCCCATTGTTACGACCATCGTTTCCGATGGCACTACCCTAGTCTCCACCATTGGTACCGGCACCGTCACGGGCACCGCCGGCGGTGGAGCCGTTGTTCCCATTGTCACGACCATCGTTTCGGACGGTACTACCTTCACCTCTACTGTTGGTACTAGCACCATCACAGGCACTGCCGCCAACGGAGACGACGACAGCAACACTGCTGTCGTCTCCACCTTCACCACTGTTATCACCAGCGGTGATGACACTATCACTTCGACCGGCGTGACCACTATTGGAATCAACGGCGTCTCTGGTGCCTCGCAGCTCCCTGTGACTACTGTCGCCGTCCCCGTCGTGACCACCATCACCAGCGGTGACGACCTTATCACCTCTACGATTGGCACTACCTCGGTTGTCTCCACCCTCACCGGCTCTGCTCTGACTTCGGCTCTTGAGAGCCAGGCTTCCGATGCCGCCAGCACTGGTGGCGATGACAGCAACACTGCTTCGGGCTCCGCTACTACCACCGACAGTGGTTCTTCCTCCGAGACCCAGACTGGTGATGCTGCCGCTTCCTCCACCACTGGCGGCGGTAACGACTCGGTAAGCCCTCTATTCGTGACTCAGGTGCCGTCTACAGGAAGACTAACATGTAAACAGGCCGGCATGTCCCTCACCGCTCCTGCCTTTGGCCTCTTGGCCGCCATGGGTGTCGCTGCCATCCTCTTCTAAGAGCACCAACCCGGAGTAAGAGTCGGTGATTCCATCAGCACATTCGATATTTAAAATACCCCCCTGCGTCAAATCCTCGGTTTTCGACCTCACGCCTTCGATCGATTCCATGTCATGATCTTGACAGGACTACAGCCAAAAAAAAAATGGACGTCGGTCAGAATCGAAGGCACCACGAATCGCAATTGAGGTGAACGGTAACGGAACTACCGAGGCACTGCAGGCTTTCTTTCTTTCCTTTTCAGGCCCCAAGGAGATGAAATGGTTCATCTTGTTCTTTTTTAATGGATTGCTTGGTGTTGGACTTGAGCGTAATGGAATGGCGTGTTGATGATGGTTATTGGCAGACCTTTAAGGGGCATGTGCTGAGGCTCGAGACCAGTGAAAAGGGGTGGGACCGAAGGTTGGTTGACCTCTTGCCTTTGTTGTCGAAATTCGGACGAAACCATGATAAATGAATGTATGTACAAATGTAGAAACATTGCAACGCCGCAGACATGGTTCTACAAGTCAAACGTGATGAGGGTTCAAACAGTAGTGCTGTTGAAGGACTACCTGCTGACCGATGTATGATTGTTACGGCTGCCTATACGCACCTTGGTCACCATGTGTTTGCGATTTATCACGCGCAGTGTATGCTGTGCAAGTGCAGCTCATACATGTGACACGGGCATGTTGGCGAGGAGGGAACGAGAATGAGGCTAGCGGCGCACAGCTATACAAGTGTCATTCCTTCCTATATCCGACCCAAACTAGCCAGCTTTCTCGCGATACTCGCGTTGATAGTCGCATCATCCTCGCCGTCGCTGTCATCAGAACCTGAGCTGCTTGTGGCGTCGTCGTCGTCGTCGTCGTCGTCGTCCTCGTCCTCGTCATCGTCGTCCCCAAGGCTCTCCTCGGCTACGATCTCCATCAAGTTGCTGGTGCCGCCCTGGACGGAGCCAGCATCGTCGTTGTCGTCGTCATCGCTGGCCACCTCGCCGTCCTCGAGCCGACGGCGGGGTTTCTTCTTGCCCTTCTGGTCCTGCGGACGTCTGGACTGGCTGGCTGCGTCGCGCTTGCGCTTCTGCGCGGTCGCGTCGGCGGGGTCGCGTTTCGGCGTCAGGGCAAAGGCCGAGGGCAGCGCGGCGTCGGCGGGGAGGGCGTAGATGGTGGGGAACTCGAGGACGGTGGTGTCGCGCAGGGCTTCGGCGAGGGACGTTGTCGGGTCGAGGGCGTGGACGGGCACCTTGGCTTCGGAGCTGGGTGCGGTAGCGGCGGCGGCGGCGGCGGCGAAGGGGCTGCGGACGGGGGAGATGAAGAAGCGGTACTTGTCCTTGGGCATGTCCTCGGGTTCTGGGGCCGCCGCCGACTTGAAGTGCGTCGCGCCGGCGTAGGGTTTCCAGGCCGGGTGCGGGTGAGGTTGGAGGACGTAGTGGCCCGGAAGCCAGGTGCCTGTCGACGGGTCCTGGGACTGTGTGGCGGCTTGCGGGGGGGGCTGTTTGGGTCGGGACTTGGGCTTGGTCGAAGGGTCGGCGGCCACGTCAAAGGGGCTTCGCTGCTGTTGCTCTTCCTTTTTGCGCAGGGCGTTGAGATGGGCCCTGTGGCCGTGGCCGAACGCCGAGTAGAGGGGCGCATTGTCCATGGCCTTACCCAGGAAGCGCGTCGTCGGAATTTTGTTTCGCCCGGCGCGGTCGTCGTGCTCCTCGTCGCTGCTGCTGTTGTCGGCATTGTCGTCTGCCTCGACCTCGACCTTGGTGTCGGCCTCCTTGGCCTCGCCAGGCTCGAGCAGCAGCCACTCGACCTGCCAGTGTATGCGGCCCGACGCCTTGTGCACGTTTGTGCCGTTCTCCTTCTGCCTCGACATGCCGGTCGGGGCGCGTCGCACATGGATGCCAAACGACGCGAGCCGTCGCCGCATCTGCTTCGACAAGTCCGGCCGCACGCCCGCTCCTGCTCCTGCTCCTGCTCCTGCTCCAGCTCCTGCGCCATCTCTGCCGCCGTTCCGCAGCACCTCGGTGACGAGCACCTTCTTCTTCGACCCGTCCTTCTGGCGACGCCACTGCACGCTGCGAATCTCGACGGGCCGCAGCTCGTCCTCGGCCAGCAGGCGGCGCTCCTCGACAATCTCGCGCTCGGCGCGCTGCACGGCGCGCTCGATGCCGTGCAGGAAGTTGTAGTCGTGGTCGACGCCGGCCGGGGTCCGCAGCCGGGCGCGCGGCACGTAGGCCGTCGCGTCGCGGATGCCGCTGCACGACGACCAGGCCTTGTGGCGGCGCGTGCAGGCGAGCGAGCACGTCCGCGTGTCGCAGGCCGGGCACTTGTACTTGGGCGGCTGGATGTGGCAGATGGCGCAGAGCGTCGTCAGGAGGGGATCGTTCGACGACGACGAGGTCGAGGCGGCGCCAGAGGGACCGCCGGCGGCTGGTGTTGTGGCCATGCTGGATGCCGCTTTCGCGGGAGGGGAGAAGGAAGGATTCGAGGTGGGCAAGCGCCCGAGGGGGTCACGTCGAAGAGAGTGTTGGCTAATGATGCAGTGGAATTAATAGGTGTCGGGTTGGAATCGAGAGGGTTGAAAATGCACGGGACCAAGTTGCAAAGGTTGAACGCATGGAGCTCACAACTTTTTGTCTTATCGCACTGCTCAACCTGATGGTCTCTGCCTTATCGGCTAGTGCCTTGGCGGATGACGCATGGTCGGTGGGAGGGAAAGCCATTCGAGGCATCCCAAAAGTTTCAAGACGAGACGGATCGGACATCAGTCATGTACATAGTCACATGGGCGAAGAAAGCGTCGAGTGTCATCTTCAAGATATAGATTCAAGACCAAGGAGTGACGTCAAGTCCAACTAGTCAGAACACCGACAGACCAACCACCTGAGCCCTACAAATCGTGATACAGCAGACAAAGAGCAGCCCACTCGTCCTCGAGGCACTGTGAGAGACATCTCGACCAAGAAACGAGACATGTTTGAAAGCACAAATAAGAGGGTAGAATTAGCAAAGCTTCCAACGCCAGGACAAAAACAACGTGACGCTGTCCAGAACCGCCATCAGTGTGGACAGCCAGACGGAGAGAGAGATAGGTGAATAAGGATAAAAACAAAGAGGTATAGATGGGGCAACAAGAGGGACGAAAAATGAGCTTTTATGCGCGAAATTGGACACATGCGGTCCAGAACCCCTGGGGAAAGAAACGAAAAAAAGGCCCCCCGGGCCCAGTAAACCTCTCCCACTCTAATGTCGTTCGTAATAAGCAAACCCTCGCCAGGTTCGTCAATCGGCGGGGGCCGGTCTCGTCTTTAGCGCGAGCCCCCCAGAGCGCTGATGCGAGCCCCAGATGGCCTGTGGATGAGGCTGCTGGCGTGCTTGCCGACAAGGCCGCGCTCCTGAGGCGCCGTGTCCGACTCGCTGCGGCCCTCCTCGAGGTCCTCGCCGTCATCCTCGACAATCTTGGTGGGGATGTCTTGGTGGATCATGTACTGCTGGCTCGACCGCTCGGGCGTCGTCGCCGTCGAGGCGAACGACATGGCCGTGCTGCTGCGGTTCGGCACCAGATCGGGCGTTGGCGGGATGCTCGACGTGCGACCCGAGGCAGGCTGCAGGAGGCTGTCGTCGCCGAGCTCCGACGCTGTGGCGTTGGAGTGGCTGTCGTGGCCGTCATCGCTGGCCGCCACCGACAGGTTGCTGTGCCTGCGGTGGGCGGCGGCGAGGCGGGCACGCTCGTCGAGCTCGGCATCTTGCGCCAGAGACAGACCCTCGACGGCAGCTTGGCACTGCTCTGCAATGTTGCGGATGATGTGCGCGATGGCATCCGTCTTGTCCTTCAGGTGACGATCAGCCACGTCAATGAAGCTGGACGAAGACATCCTCTTGTTGGCGCGGGCAGCACTCCTCAGGTTGTTCTCGGCTTCAGGCGAAAGGCGCTCGCTGGGCACCTCGCCCTGCTGGAGTTCGACATCCTCGTCGTTCTCGAAACCGTCCTCAAGCTCCGAGGTGATCTCCTCGGGCTTCGTCAGCGAGCGGACGAGGTGCTCCATGTGGTGGCTCTGGCCGCCAATGAGACTGCGGAGGTGAAGGACCACCCTGCGAGCCTCGTCACGCTGTCGCAGGATTGTCATGTTGGTGTGCTGGAGCGCGGAAAGCTCCTTCTTGTTGCGCTTGCGCTCGCGCTCGAGCTCCTCGGCAATCTCCTGCTGGAGGACCAGGGCCTCAAGAGCGTCATCACGCTGCTTCTCCGTGCCGGCGAGACGAACAGAGAGGCGAGCATTATCATCCTTCTGCTGATCGATGAGACCGCCGAGCCTGCGGTTCTCCCTCTTGTGGTTCTCAATCTTGGTCTTGAGATCTTGCGTCTCCTTGGTGAGCTGTTCAGCAAAGGCCTGGAACTTGAGGAACTGCTGCTTCCAGCTCTCCAGTTCCTCCACAAGGTAGTTGTTGCGCTTGGTGACCTTGCTGAGCTCCGTGTCCATGCGGCCCTTGAGGTTGATGAAGTCCTGCCACGCCTCGAGGGCGTCGCGAGAGTATTGGTTCCTCTCGCGGACAATCTCGTTGAGGTGCCTCATCGAAACCTTGGTCATCAGCGGCTTCTTCACGGCGCCACCAAAGACCGCCTTGAGGCCGGTGTTGCGGCCCATCTTTTCACAGACGTGGTCCATGACGGACATGACAGCATCCTGGCTCCACCACTCGGGGTCCTGGATAGACTCGACTTCACCGCGCATGACGATAATCTGGCCGGCGGGGATGAGTTTGCCTCCACCGTAGGCGGAGCGGAGATGCTGGGGCACACCAGACGGGGTGACATCGCCATTGAGGGACTGGGTCAGGCGGGTGACGAATTTGTTGCGCTGACCGGGGCTCAGCGCGGTGGGCGGGCTCGAGGTGAGGACAAAGTTGCGGTCGAGGTCGACGACCAGAGCGTCCGTGGGCGCCGTGAAAAGCGACCTGCACTCGGCAGTGATGCCCAGGATGTAGGGGCCCGGTTCCCGAACGAGCTCCTTGGCGTGACGAGCGTGAACGACGGCGGACGTAGAGGCCGCTCCACTCGTAGACACGGACGCAGTATTTGTACCGTCTCGGCGGCCATGGTCAGCAGCATGGCCGGGTAGTGGCTCACAAAGATGATGCGGCGGGTGGGGGGAGATGGCGGCCTCAATGACGCCGACAATGTTGGGAATCGAGAGACAGCAGAACAGGGGCCATATGGCAAAGTTCTGGAATCCGGTGGGAGAAGAGGGGAACTGGTAGCACAAGGGCGTAGTCCTTTCATGTCGATGCGGACAAGGTCGTTGAGCCTTGGGGCGGGGAAGCTGAGAATGCGGGAGACCTCCTCGGCGTGGAACAGGTTAGTGGCCTTGTTCCAGTGAATCCACATGCCCCGAAGATAGTCGCCCAACAGATTGTACAGCGGGTAACGGGAGAGGAAGGACAGGCAGTAGGGAATCCAGTACGTCTCGTCGGGGTTGTCGTAAAAGTCGGACTCGGTCCTCTTCCGCAGGTCACGAATCGTCTCGGCCCTCTTGTCGTCGGCGCGGGACCACACGCGGAGACTGATGCCGTAGAGGGTGTGGGACGAGTCCTGCTGCAAAACGAACGCGTGGTGGACGCAGTGAGGCTGGCTGCGACCAGTGCAAATCTCAACATCGTGAGGGAAGCACGCCTGCGACGGGAGAGGTTAGCACAACGTTACCGCCAATGGAAAGGGGGGGGGCAAACAGGTCCAACTCACCCGCATAGCAGCGTGCAGGGCCCTGGCAATCTCGTTGTCTTGCTCCAGCCTGGGGCTGCTGCCGAGAATCTCAGGGAGCCAGAATTGGCCAACGGCACCCTTCATGTGGCCAATCTTGCCCTGGGCGGGCGCAGGTGCCTTGACCCATTGCGAGGGCTCTCGGCCAACACCACAGACCATGTAGGCATGGGTCAGTGTCTTGGGGGTGCGCTGCTGGGTCTTGACGTTGAGGGTGGAAGGAATCGGCTGGGTGATGCGAGAGTGAAGAGAAGAGGTACGGCTGGGGATGATGAGGTTGTTGTCGCCCTGGTCCCGGGTGGTGGGACGGCCCTCGCGATCCCCGGTGCGAGGGCGCGTGAAGGACGAGTGAGCATGCAGAGAGGGAGCCATTGCGCGTGATGGATACCTCTGATTCTGTCGTTGCAGCGTAGGGTGTTTGGGGCGAGAGGATAGAGCGAGCTCCTAAATCTCGCAACAAAGCAGAGCAGGCGAAGAAGCTCGGAAGCTGGGCGGAAGTCTGGAAAGCTTTGCGGGAGCTCGAGTTGTTTTAGTTGTCCATTCGAAGGTCTGCACAGCAGCTAGTGATGCGAGGTTCTGGGCGTTCGGTTCGTCGCGTCTCTTGTCGTCTCGTCCGGTCTTGTCGTATCGTCTCTTCTCTTCTCTTGTTCTTGACGAGTGCTCGTAGACAGTCCGCAACAGACTGGCTGCTTGGTGACGGCTGGTGCGGGGGGAGGAAGGGAGGGTAGGAGAGTGAAAAGGAAAGACGCTGGCTAAGAGGAACAAGAGCCACAGAGGTTTTGGAAACGAGCACCCAGAAAGGGGGAAGGCGACTCCAAAAAGAGGCGATTGGGGGGGGGTGGGCGGTCCGTGTGGATGGATGGAATGGGTGGAATGAATGGATGGGGCGGCCAGGGGTGGGATGAGCATTCGAGCTCTGCTCGAAGATCGTTGCAGCGAAAGAGGAGAGACGGGGAACGACTCGTGGTTCAACAGACAGACAGACAGACAGCCAGACAGCCAGAGCCGGCCTGAGCCAGCCAGAGAGCCGTGGCGGATTTTGGGGGGGACGAGCAGTCGGAGAAGCAAGCTCAATCCATCGTGATGCCCAATACCTTTCAGGGGGGGACCCAAGTGGGAAGGGGCCCATCGTCGGCCGCCTTCCTGTTCCCAGGAGGTCTGATACCACGCTAAAGCACTGTGCATGGCCTGTGCATTGTGCGGCGGAGATCTGACACGAACACGGTGTGATGCCACCAGTGATCCGTATAGGGAGACCGTGTGAAGTGCCTTCGTCGGGCGCGACCCGTACGGGGACCCCTGCCTCAGGAACGAACGGGGCTAACGATTAGCACAGCGGCGTTGGCGCACCGCGTGGGCCTCACGGGTGAGCTTGGGGCACTCGGGGCACTTGGGGCGCGCTGAAGCACTGAAGCACTGAAGCACTGAAGCACTGAACCCTCGAAGCCGTCGCCGGGCTGGCACCATCACTTGGTGTGTCCACACCGTCCCCCCCTCGCCCGGGTCCCTGGTCCCCCCAAAATTTGGCTCCACGCCTGCCAGCTTAAACGAACCAATGACGGGCCGGCGGACCTGGTGGGAAATTGTCTCTCCCTTTTTCGTGTCGCGACTGCGACGCTGTCATGGCTCAATTTCTCGAACCCTGGCCCTCTCGTTTCCGACCTTGCGTTGCGACGAATGCTACTGCTGTTCGTTTGCGTCTGTTTCTTGCCTCAGCGCTCCCTTGCAGCCGTTTTCGTGCAGCAGACAAAGGATCGCCCTGCCGTGTTTGTTGTTGTTGGGCGTAGGGAATGCCGCAGCGCTGCTGCTGTTGCTGCTGCTACTGCTGCCTCGAGGATCCATCCAGGCCGTGACTTTGACCGCCCCCCCTCCCTCAGTCACTTGTCAGTTCGACCTGTCGTGCATGGCTCTTTTCTTTTTTAGCGTCTCAAGGCCAGACCAGGCCACACGTGTCATGGCAAGGCATAGAGCCCCGGCGCCAGCCGGTCTTTGTTGGTAGTCAAGGTAGTGCAACCGATGAAACATAGCGACACTGCCTTACAGCTAGTGCTGTACCATGTACGCCACTCCTGGGGAGGTGTTATGCACATCTGGCGTCGAAAACATCCGTTTTTTACTCAGTCCCTTCCCGTCAACGCATCGCGCTGGCTTCGATGCTGCTGTAAAACGAGCGAACGAACGAACAGGCAAACAGATGGGGCCAAGACGCTCGACTGACTGACTGACTGACTGACTGACTGACTGACTGACTGACTGACTGAATGGTGGACTGACCCCTGACGCCAGACCCCACCAGTCGGCGACAATTTGTCCAGCCGACGCCCAGGGTCATCCTCTCGGAGTGCAGGAAACGAACATGACCGCCTACATGTACAGCACAGTACACTTGCACTAGCAGCGGGGCCTCTCCTCGAATCCAGCTAAGCATCTGGCGATACCCGTCTGCAGTGTGCAGAAATAGCCCGAGCTTGCGCTTTCCATGACGGGATGACTTGCTCTCACAAGGTGCTTCCATGTTGTGCACAAGCCTCCTCCTCCCCCTCGCCTCCACGCCCATGCCTCATGCACGCTCGGACCCGTGCTCAGGCGATGTGCCAGCTCTCTCTCTCTCTCTGTGTCTGTCTGTCTGTCTGTCTCTGTCACCTTGCACGGAATGGGAAAAAAAGGACTCTCACTCGCACCATCATGCCCCGCCCTGCGTGATGCTGCGCTCCTGTTGACGTCGGGTAACCTAGGCTGCTCGGATGGCGACATATATGTAGGGAGACAGTGGGAGAGAGTAGGGGGTGTCGTTGCTCCGATCAACACAGGAACGCCGCATGTTTGCCCAGCACATACAAACATATACATATGCATGTACATATGTGTTTCGGGCTCGATGCATGCACCTGGATCGATGCGAGCCATGATATTCCCGCCGATGCCGCTCCCAAGCACCCGGCACCCATTGGCTTTTGACCACGCGTAACGGCGTTTTACCAGAGGGTCCGTTGTCGCAGGCGGCGGGGTCTATCGAGGTACTATGTACAGTAGCTCTTGCTTTGCGGGCAGGCGGGGTTACGACCTTTTCGCTGGCAGCCATCCCCCCCCCCCCCCCCCCCGGTTTTCGCTTCAGGGATTCCGGAATCCGCTGAACCTGGACAACAGCGGGCCGGGTCTCCTAGCAACGACTCAACTGAAATACATAGTACTTGTCAACACCTTACGCCCTGTACCGTCTCTAAGATGAAGCTGCTGAACAGCTTATGTTTGGGGGGGTGAGCTGCTATCGAAGTTGGCCCAAGTACCTGATGTTTGAGCCACGCAAGTACTACAGCGACTGGAGCTGCAAGTTC